TTATTGGCCGCAGCATAGGTATCAAAAGCTCCATTAGCGAGTATAGTCGAGTTGACGGTTAATAGGACCAAAATAGTCAGGCCGATTATATATTTTTACACCGACATCTTGGCTTATGTCGCACTCAAAAACTGCGTTGTTGTCACTGTAGGAAAGTTACTCGAGGTCTGTCGGTATAACGGATGATACGCGTTTAAATACTTGCAATTATCGCTTATCGCACTACTTATTACATTTTGCAATTGCAGTTCTTATATGGCGATTGCATCGCCATTATTCCAGCTGTAATTAGCAAATTCCGCGTCGAAAAAGTTTGTAACAAATATACGTGTCAATGCTGACGGATCCGCGGATCCGCTCAGCTTTTTGGAAACAAAAAAAAACGAAAATTTAAAGTGAGACAGACATAGCGACAAGCACATGAGACAGATAGACCCGTTGGCGAGAATAACAAGAGCACAACGACGCTTATATAAGGTTTTGTAAATATCGCTTTATTGTATTGCATTATTATATAATCTTTTCTTTTGTCGAGCAAATTAATAATACATAAAATGTAATATTGTACGCTATAATATGAATAAGAATTTTAAATAATCTTAGGCCGCACGCGCAAGAAAAGAAAAATAATCATTGCGAGGGCTTAAAATTTATGTATTTTCATAAAAAAACAGGTATCAAAATAAGCTTTCCGAAAGACAAGTCAGGCGACCGATCACGAGATGAAATATAACGATTCGGTTTGTAGACACGACGCGCACAAACATGATTTGTGTATATCATTATAAAATAAAATTTAGACTGGGACATAATGATTACAATTAATCATTTTCTCCATCGCATTTGCACAAATCCTAATCAATCCATTTTAATATAAAGAATAATGTTAAATTAAACTGGAAAGATACATTTTGTGAAGGAGTGATTCCGATTAATACCGAGCTAGTCGCAACATGTTCAAACAACCTTCGTTGCTATCTCTTATAATAAAAAGTAAGTATCATTTCTAATAAACTAAATCAATATTTGTATAACTCGAGTATTAAATCTCCACAAGAGTCACATCTCAGTTTTCTCTCGCTTTATTTTTAAAGATGTTGATAATTATTAATAATTATTAATAATTAAACGTATAAGATACTTGATATGACTTTTATAATAACGATGAGAGAAGCAATAATGTAGGTACATCTATATTCTAATGATCTGTCGTATAAACATTGTACGCACATCTAAGATTCAATTTGATCTCGATAGTCAACATCAGTAATATTATAATATATATCCAATAGGCATCATTTAAGCATCTTCATGTATGCATACATCGTTGTATAAAAATAAATTTTACGCATGCAAGTAAATTAATATAAAAAAAAGAGAATAAAAATTGTTAAATAAAAATGGATTTCTAGGTAAAGGTTATAATATAGTACATAAGTATACAAATTTGAAAATTTTAAAGAAAAACACGCAATTACATCAGTTACATTGATTTATTAATGATGTATACAAGAATATTCAGTATACATTCAAATAATTAAAGTGAATAACAAGAATATTCAGTGACATGCCTTCAGCAGCAATGGTGACAGTATTGCAATAAATAGTTCAGGGTTGATTTTGACTTCTAAGATTGATTATTTTACATTTTCATCTCAGTTGCATTTAAAAATCACCAATAGGAGTAGCTACTTCCACTGCGGTCGATTATCGTGCATACAACTGAACGATGAAGTTAATGCCATGACCCCTCTGGCTCTTGAACTTCATGGTGACGTTGTTGTGTCCAGGTCCACCATTCAGAATACTAGCGTACGCGCCGTTTCCATTCGTCTTCTGGTCCAATGCTTCAACCATAGTGATACGTTCGTTCGCTGCGGCATAGAGGGTCTTCTCAACAGTCACAACCCTCAGCCAGCTAGAATCCTTGACGATGTTCTCTCTGAGGACGACCCTATCGCCGGGCATCCTGGAGCCAACGACCAAATGGTGTGACTTATCAGCATAGGTGTCGAGAGCTCCATTAGCGGGTACAGAGTTGACGGTTAACAGAACGGCGAGCAGAACGGTCAGGCCGATTATGTATTTGTACGCCGTCATCTTGGCTTGTGTCGCACTCAAAAACCGCGTTGCTATTACTGCTGGAGGACTACTCGAAGTCTGACGATATTTCGGGCGATCCGCGTTTAAATACGTGCAATAATCGCTTATCGCACGGCTTATCATATTTTGCTGTTGTACCACCTTGTTCTGGAAAGATACGTTCCGCGAAGAAGATATTCCGATCAATACCGCTCGTCGCAACACGTTCAAATAATCTTCCTCGCTATCTTTTATATTAAAAAGTGGATAGTATCGTTTCTAATGAAATGTAATAACTAACGCATGAGATTATCGCTTATTTCTTGTTAATTACTTCACAATTTAAACTTCTTTATAAGTGATTTTATATCATTTTACCAATAGGAGGAAATATTAATATTTAATAATAAAAAGTAAATTAATTTGTTAACATAAATTGAGAGCAACAAGAAATATATGATAACATATACGTATAATATTGACCGATATTCCCTGCATAATGCGTTACAGATAATTATTTTAATTAGATCTTTAATTAGGTACGTCGGAGATATTGCAATTATTATTACACACGTATACGTACGTTTCTATTCTGGTGTATGATTCATCGAGTAGATTACAAACGAGTGTTATCAATATACTAAATCAATATTTTTATCGCACAAATATTATAAAACCGCCACGAGAGTTATATCTCAATTGTCTCATTTTATCTTCAAAATGAATACAATTCACAGAACAAGACTTCTATATGAGATCAATAACTTATTAGATGTTAATGATAATAATTATTATTAATAATAAATTATCATATACTTAATATGGATTTTATAATATGAGAGAAACTATAATGCAGGTGCATCCATATTCTAATGATCTATCGTATAAACATTGTGCGCACATATATCTGCGATTCAATGTATCCTCGATAGTCAACATTGGTAATATTATACATCCAATAGTCACTTAAGCATTTTCATATATGTGCATATATTGTTTATTAAAATAAATTTTACGCGTGTAAATATATTTATATATAAAGAGAGAGTGCAAATTGCTGAATAAAAATGGATTTCTATA